CACTGATGTGTCCACCTATTCCGTATGAGCACATGCATCCCAGTGCATGAGCAATATAATGAACAATAAAGAAAAGGGATAAATATCCTACAAATTTGATCACAGAAGTGGTTCAGATATAGAAGGGATTGCATTTCTTGATTAACTCAAATCCATTTTGGTTCCCTGGCAATACTGTGCCGAGCCGCTCTACCTGCACCTCAAATGTTGGCAGCCATGTATAATATATTGACGGTTGCAGTCTGTGTTACCTGTGGGACCTGAATATACTGAACCACCAAATCTATTCTATTTCACAACTTTTACCATAACAAGAAACTCTAACGGTGGACACCAACTAAACGGAAATATCCTTGAAAAGGTCAAAAAGAAAAAAAAATGTAGCAACACTAGAAAATTTGAATCTGTCTGGAAGTTTCAATTCATGTCTTTTTTACAAGTTTAAAGGTTAAGACTTTGTATCAGCATATAAAAATAGACTAAGTGTTTTCATATGAAGAACAAATAGTACTGTGGAGAAACAGGCAAATCAAATCTAAATCTGTCCTGTCTGGTGGAAATATCAAACTAACAGAACATGCAGATGTGGCAGACATACCACTTTATGTTTTCCACCTAGCATAATCTAATTGAGGCTATGAGTTTATAAAACAAAGGCATATTAGCTAGAGTATTATTTTTATTTCATTGTATTCCTTCTCTTTTTTTTTCCGTTCTTGCAACACATTCAGCAGGTGGCACTGTCACCTCAGAAAGTTTTGTAAATACCAACTGGTTGATATGTTTTATGTACACAGATGTAGAAAATGCAAAAGTGTCAGTATCTACTTTGGTCTCTGATGCACTGGTTATGTTTTCCTACCTGATTTGAATTTTTTTTTTTCCTGAAATATTCATGGCTCAAGAGAAGAGATAGTTAATAACCTCCGTTATACACATCGCCTTAAACCTCCTAATAACGAAGTCAGGTACAAACATTCACGACACGCAGATAAGGGTACATAAATGATGCATTTCTGAAATAAATTAAAATAGAGATGAAAGGGTAGGATAAAAATAGTCAGCTTGGTTTGCACAGTTTCCATTGTGTGTGTGTTTTTTTTTTCTCCTTAATATCTAATTTATATGGAAATGAAAACATGTTTGTTTATCCATATTGTATATAGTTATAGGTCTCAAATAAGTCCGGTGTCAGATTAGCAAATAATTTTGATGGACAGAGACCTAAAACCTCAAACTAAAAACATCGCAGATGAACTACAAACTGTCATATGAGAGACATTTATTTCAAATATGGAACTCTCCAGTGGAAAGATGGACCAAAATGCTTCTGCATGTAATTCTCCTTGTTATAATCATTTTCTGCAGGTACAAAGTGTTTATGTTTCCACAGGTCGCCCACAGCTGTGCTAACTATAATTTTGTCATTGTAAAATTTAATTCAGCGCAAGTAACAATTCTCATGGTTGCTAGATTTACTCCGGTTTCCTCCCACAGTCCACCCAAATGCATGTTAGTTTAATTGGATATTCTAAATTGTTCTTTCGAGTGTGACTGTTTTGTTTGGTTTTGGTAGGCGGATGGTAGAACTGGGCATGTCGACCTTTATATCAGTACCATTCACACCAAGGTGAGTATTGGTATCAGATCAACGTTTGCAATTTCTCTTCCATGTCCAGTAAATTGCTCAAATTTCTTTGTCGAGATTAAAATGTCAATTATGCATTTTTAACTTCGAGAGCAGCACTCCATACCGTATTTTAATGTTTGCTTTCAGAACGTCTGCTTTCTTTCAAATGCAATCTGTTTAATTCCCTCACCACTGCAGATTCATTCCAAAACTGTCTGGGCAAACAGCACACCTCGCTCTCACAGCTTTCACAGTTTAATCTGTGATCGGAGTTGAAATTTTAATTTTAGCATACCGATTAAGCCATTATCTATGCAGGCGGCTGACAAAAAAGTCTTACTGAAGCTCAAAAATGTACACTTATTTAAAGATGTATGCCTCAATCATGAAATATTAACATGACTGGATATGGTTACGATTTTGTGTTAACTGAGGAGAAAATGGCATTCCAATTCCAAGGTTAGATGCAGATTACAGACCAAGTTATCCGAAAAAAAAAAACATTTAAAAAGATGCATTGGTGTTTTAGAAATTTAAAAGAGAATTATTTTACTTCTGTTCTGCTACAATGTGTTATATTTTAGTCAGTTAACAAAAAACAGGATTTTTTCATAAAATGTTCTTATATTTTATCAATCATTTAAAGTCAAATTACCAAATTATTCAATGATAATGACATTTCAAGAAAAAAATGTATCTGTATCAGAGTATCAACGATGCAAGCCCTGTATTTACTTGGTACAGGATCAACACCAAAAGTATTGCACATCTTTAGTAGATTAATGGATTGCTAAGAGTAAATATAATTTTTACTAAATTTAATTATTTAAGCACAAACTATGTATCCCAAAGTACTCTATAAGGAAAGAACAACTCCTTTGGACGTTTCCTTTAGAAATTTGCCACAATTTAAAACAGGTAATCTGGTCGAAAGGAGCTAAATTCAAACTTCCTGGCCAACCTGTAAAAGGCTATATGTGGCACAAATAGAACTGCATATAATCAATCCCCACTGTGAAAATCGCAACGGCAGCAACAGCTAAGCCTGTCGAAGATCATTTTTCAAACTTTTTTCTTTTTAACCTCCTCTCATTTGAGTCAAAGTATTATTCTTGAATACAGATATGTAAATCAATTAAGTAATCATTAATCACTAAAGCTTTTGTTCATTGACAGTTGAGATCAAGATGGATCCATATTAGAATAATTTTTTAAAAAAAGAATGAGCAATGAAGACAGAAAAGTGAACACAGGAGTGTGAATCTATGTGCTGAACTGATGTATCTGGTAATAAATCAGCAATGAAAAATTAGCTGCAGATATGTGTCACTAGCCCTCCAGTTGATAAACACATGCCAATTTGCATCTGTAACTACCTCTATCAGCAATGGATCATTTATGATTGTGCTTCTGTGCTGTCATACATGGCAACAGCTTGCATCAAAATCATGTCAGACTTGATGGGTGACGGATTTATTATTACAATCATTCACATTCACCCCATCTCAGGCGAGTTACAGTCAGGCCTACTGATTGCATAATTTGTTTGTCAGATTCCATCCATCCATCCGTCTGCTGCTCATCTCATATTGGGTCGCAAACATCAGTTCTGTCAGTCCCGTGTCTGGCCGCCCCCAGGTTCTCCTCAAAGTGGGACATGATGTCGAAACTGTGAACTCCCCCCCCCCGCAGTAAGCATCCTGATCAAATAGCTGAACCGCCTCAACTGACTCTTCATCGTGGAAGAGCATTGGCTCTGCTTCTAGATCCCCATGGATGATGGAGCTTTTCACCATATGTCTAAGGGGGCGGTTGGCCATCATACAGGGAGACAGCTCTTTTCAAGCCTGTATCTCACACTTGTTCTGATGAACCATATCTTAGGACCACTGTTGAGATTCAGAAAGTAAATGTCGTACATTTATCCCAAATAAACTTTCACAGACACCCTTTGGTTTCACAATTTAAAATGTATTCCTGAGCACCAGACACAGAAGAACAAAAAAACTTTACATTTAAGCTCAGCTAAATGTCTCATACAGAGACAATGAGACATCGGATAATGAGGATGTTGCAACCTGATGTCCTTTTGTAAGGCTTGACCACACCCTTAAGGCCATCAAGGACTCTATGAAGTTCTGGCCAACTAGTGAGAGATAAGAGCAGATAATAAATCCAGGATCAAGACATATTATATAGTTCCTTAGCAACTCGGTGAACTGATATGATTCAGACATTTCCTGTTAGCACAGAGTGGCTATATCACTATCACATTATACTAAAGTAAAATAGGGGAAAGACTATCTCACCATCAGTTATTTGTCTGCCTCCTTATTTCTCCCTTTGTGACGTTATTAGATGATATGATCTCCAGCTGCATAAAGCCTAAACAAAAATAACCTTCCTAGAAGCTAGGCGAAACTCTCCCTGGAGTTCTACGGATGTGTTTACTATTCAGGCCAAGTTTTGCAGAGGCATCCTGGTTCCACATAGATGTGGTTGCTCTTAAAGAGGCCTGGCAGTTTCTGTTCAATTAGAGACAAAGAAAAGACAATTTAAAATATATTGTAAAATAAATATATTCATCCGATGTGATTTTAATGGAATAAATAACCTAGTGGTAGTGATGAAGGCAAATGATTAAAGAAGCTTCAGTGCACGCGCTTGTCACTTTTCTGTTTCTGCAAACCGATTATGTACATTGCTTAAGGCACACGAGAAATTGTGCAAATGAAAGAAGCAATCATCTTGTGTATAAACGGATTATCTGCTTCATGTTCAATTTATTGATGTATAAATGACCATTTGCGCAAATTTGTGCCCATCGTTGCGCATCTGATCCCCTCCGCACTGTGTAAACAGACCGTTTCATGCACTTCTGCTGCACGCACACAATGATGTACTGCCTGTAGACCGATACTGTCGAAGCCACACCTCTTGCCCACATGGGGAATCTCTAAAATATAGATCAAAAGGCAGAATTTCTGTCAGGCATTACTAATCTTTTGATGAGAGGTTTAAAAGGCTTCCTTTGAACTGCCTCGGTTCTTAATTAAAGGGCAACATGCACAAGACAAAATTCAAATAATAAATTCTCTATCAAGCAGAGAACTTTGACCTCCCCGGGGCGATATAAAAAGACAGGAAAACAAGAAGGACTTCTCTCGCCTGTTTGTTGAGTACACAGGGAAACAACTGCACAAATGGAAAAAAAAAAAAAAAAAAAAAAACATTGAATATTAATGTTCGGTCAACCACATGCCATTTCAATATGTATCAATGCACATCGTATTAAATAAAGATCTGCACAGAACCGATATGAAAACGGTGTAAGCGAGACAGAAAAAAAAACTTGAATCATAAACCCTACCTTGCCTGACGTCTCTCGGTGCTATGGCGATTGCATCATTGGAATGAAGTTCGGTTACACAGCAGTCATCAGGGACGAGGGAACCGTTGCTGAAACTGTGAGGTGTCTCCGGAAGTAGTGGAATCGGCGGCGCCATGATGTTGTGATTAGGACAAATGCAGCCCGTTTGCGTCATCCCACAAACATCCCCGTCAGAGGTCTCCTGGTTCCCAGTGGGGTCCGTCCGCAGACACTCCTCAAACCAACGACAGAGCACGCCGCAGGTGAACTGACTGGAGTTCTCGTTGTTAATGAGCAAAACCTCCACCAGCCTCTGCTCCGCCAATTCCTTTGTTACCTGAGGCTCATCTGCAGCAGGGTGTCTCGTCAGACATAGCTGAACAAAGTTTTTATCAAACTGCAGGAAGGAGTAGGGTCTGTCTGAGTTCAAGGGGCTGCCGCAGAGATCGATGATCTCCTGATCCCTGGCTGTTGCCGTTTGTAAATGGAGAGGGCAGCTTTGATTGGCTAGATGGTGGTCAAGGGAAAGGAGCATGGGGTGGTGCGTTTGGCAGATGATAGGGTTTCGGGTGAAGCGGAGGTAGAGGGAGTACTTTGTAGGATCTGGATTTTCCAAGGACCACGAACAACCAGGTGTCCTGAAGGGAAAAAGCTCCCGTAGGGAGAAAGAACCATAGAGCACCCCTGCTACAAGGCTGGAGCATGGTGAGGAGATGGGTGAGGGGCCCCCTTCTGCCCCTGTGCTGGGGATGCTTTCGGCAGCCCCATAGGCAACCTCAGGCAGGGTAGAGAGAGGAGCTAGAGCGAGGGCAGACAGAGCAGCCAGGGCCCCAGCCACGGCCAGGAGGGAGGACAGCACAGACAGACACACCCCACCAGCAGTGTTCATCCTATGACATTCGTCCTGCAGGGAGGAGAAAGAGAAGAGAAATGATCAACATCGGACCTATTTGGTAGCATCCATAGACAAAACTGACAAAAATCAACATGACATAGACAAAAGACAGACTCAAATATGTTATACAAGTCGATACTAAAGACACACGTCTGGTTGAAAGCGTTTCTCGAATGATTTGTGCATCGCCTCAGAGGATTACAAAACCAACTTTATGACAGCAGTTCTCCTGAAGTTTTTCAAACGCACAGACACACAAGAACTGTCAAAAACACAAACACATCCCTGCTGGGCTGGATTAAAAGGGCTGATGACTTGGCTGTTGAGACATGCACTGTGGGGCCTGCTCTACCCTTTCCTGCTGATATGTGCGCGTGAACAGATTTGTGCACACAAACAAACTCCAATGCACACACACTCCTGTCCCGCTGAGCAGCTCCCCTAAGGTTCTGGCAAACTATTACCATCACTGACACAGTGAGGGTCCGCCAACAGCCTGATTTTGACTCACAGAGTGTGCACACACAATACTGAAAAAAAAAAAACACACGCTCTCTGCATACAATATTTTTCTTCAAGCTATTTGAAGAGTTACTACTCTTGCCGTGTGTCTATTCGATCACGCAAGACATACGAAGCATCTTGGCAAAAATGCAATTTCAAGAAGATTTCGGGGAAGGAAAATGGGGCATTCTTGCCTCAACAAGCAGTACCAAGCTGAGAATAATGTTCATTTCTCTGGTATATTGGCAGTGAAATCACACCCTGGCATTTCCTCAAATATCTTAAAGCAATTTAAATGTTATAAATGAAAACATAACTTCCACAATTTAAGTATTTTTATTTAACTGATGCCTAAATTTTGATTTCCCCTCGTTTCTGATTTTAAAATTCTCTCCCCTTACTAGCAGAAATGTTTCCATATTAATAGAAATGAACAGAAGAATAAATGCTACAGCGCGCAAAAGGTATCACTGTCTCCATTTTTCATTTTAAAGCTTCACAAAACAATAAAAACCCAGATATCATTTTATGATATCTATTGGTGATGTACACATTCTGTTGCCACTGCTAAGTTAATATTAGACGACGCTTTGTAAAACAACCATCATCAAAATGGAAAAGATTGCTTGAACAACTTGGACAAGTTCAAGTAAGGATCTGCCTTCTTGTGCCACGAAGCTTTTCTAATAAGTTGTAGCCCCAGCCATATCTAGTGGCGTGTCTTTTAATTTATTACTTATTTCAAGCTGAAAGCAGCAACCAAGGTTACCAAATATGATATCTCTATGAAGATACCTAATTAAAGAAGACTGTGTGCGTGGCTTTCAAGCTACTTCCCCCTCGTTCCTAATTAATGACGCACACAGCGTTACCCAGGATTTTATATAAGATTCTTCAGAATTGCAAACATATTTCACAAGGTCTAGGTAACACACAACAATGTCACAAAGAGAGCACTGAAAGGCAACTGTGTGTCTCTGATGTAGGAGGGGTAAGTTATGGTTAAAAGTCCATTAAAGGCAGCCAAAAGGCAGAGAGATGAGGAGGAAGATTTAAAGGCAGGAGAGCAGAGGACTGTAATTAAACAAACTATTAAAAAAGAAAGAAAAAAATCATTGGAGATTTGCATCCCTCACTGTAAAAAAAAAAAAGAATCATCTCCTATGGGGTTTGAGGCATTCTGCTGATGTTGACTCAGAGTGATGCACGAGCATAAAATGCTTTACAATCATGTTCAAGGACAGCTTGTTGATGTAGAAGATGTACATTATTCTGTCATGAAAAGGACATGGGGAAGGTGTTTAAAATGAAAACTAGCGCATATTGTGTGTTTCTAAATGGGACTGGTTGAGGAAAAAGGGGGGAAAAGAGCCTACTTTAAATGCATCTTTGAAATTGCATTTTAATTTAGGCTCTTTTTCTAATTGAATCCGTTACATTGGATATAATGGAGAGGGCTATGAAGAAAGAATCATACAGGCCAATGGACAAACTTGGGCTGTATGGACTCACCACTTGAGTCAAGGTAAACCGAGGTTTCATATCAAAAATCTAATTTTTCATCAAACCATTCAATGACTTGAAGGAGTTATTGAGTCATTCACTGCAAATCAGTTATTCAGTGCAAACTCCTGGGTTTCTTTATTCTGTAAAGTTGAACTAGTTTGTATAATAACAGTGTCGCATATTAAACTAAGTTTGATAGGTAGGATCAACTGGAAAATAAGTACTTGGAATCTGATTGGGTTGCTTTGTCTTTTTTTTTTTTTTTTTTTTGTAAATTGCTTGAGATAGTCTACAAACTAAATTGGGAATAACTAAGTCAATGTTCAAAATAACATAATTGTAATAATGAATACAATTATGGGGGTTTGTAGCAGAAAATGCAGTTGTTACTTTTCTGGTTTACATATGAACTAATACATTATTACAAGTTTGTTTAAAATGTTTTAACTAGACATTGGTTATTAAGCCATAACAATTCCATACAGATGTATGTCTACTAATGTGCAGTGAGTGTAATTTTTAGAGACTATATTAATTTTATTTTTTATAGTAATTTTAAATTGCCACTAAATTGGCATCTCTTTCTTGTAAAACACAATATAAGGATTTCATTTATCAATATAAAAAAAATCGCAAATGCTTTAAAGCAGAGACCTAATAAAATAAAAATTTTAATAAAAGAAAAATATGTTCTTAGTAAAATAAATAAATAAATAAATAAACATAAGAAAATTACCTAAATCCACACAAGAAGAAGTATGTTTAAAACATGTTTGCTCATTTTGAGAAAATCTGAAAGTTTAGTTTCTCTTTCTCTGTCCCGCTTTAAATCCTTTGATGTAAAGACAACATGGAGGCCTACATATGTAGCTACTACGACCTGCATTTGTTTTTTCAGCGCCTGTTTTTCCTTCATTTCAGGGTCCTGACACCGTTTCGAAAAAGCTAACCCACTGCATGCTGTGAGCTATGCTCCAGAGCATCATGCTACTTTGTAAAACAAGTTCATACGGTCCTCCAACTTCAAAACAAATATGGCGTGACATCATACATCCACACTTCTCCACAGCTGGTGACACAGTTCCTCACGTTGCAGTGTGTCACAGAAATGTTGCCTCAAGCGATTCAATGGGAATATGATGTGCTGTTCTATATGACAAAATAGTTCCCTTGTTTATGGGCAATACGTTGCCCACCGTCTATGCTCAGTTTCATCTTATTCAACCTTTTTTGAAAAACATATTTACTGCACTAAAAGTCAGGGTGTTTTCCAGCAGAGTTTAAACTTGAATGCAGACTTAGCAGTGCAAAAAAAAAAAAAAAAAAAAAAAAAA